TACAAATCGAAATTCACATCTGCTTTAAGGAGAAAGGGCGACGATGAATAAGAACGACTGCTTCGTAGGGGGGAGTACAGTGAAATCTATTACCCTGTCCTGATGGTCAATACGAATGACAATTATGACTACGTGGAAACTGATTCATCAGGTAGTTGGGACCGCCATATATCTCCTAACGCTTTCCGTGAATGTCTGACTGAAAGAAAGATTATTCCAAAACATAGGGATTATGGTTTGTAATTCGTTCGGCAATGCATCATCGCAATCTTGGCTAAATGAACTTCTCGTCAAATGTGGTTTGAAATGCGGTCCTGCGTGCTATGCACCGCAGGCGATTAAATACTATGAAGACATGGCCGGCTTAAATGGCGTCTAAAAGCAAGGGGGCGGTGCAACTGTGCTGCTGGTGTAAAATGAGAAATAGATTTTATTCCTTTACACTGTGCATTTTTGTTGTTTCAATCCAATATCAGTTTTTAATCTGAAAAAAAATATTACACTAACTACGGATCCGGATAAAAGAAAATTTGATGGTGGTGAAGGATGGTTCAAAATGACCACCGAGAGGCAGTGTCCCTAATTTCGAGTCAGAGCCTAACAGTAGAATGGATTTCGCATCTTGGCTACTGAATATCTTTCGTTTAGCAAGAGATGCGAAGTGTCCGGCAGTCATATGACAGAAGGATGCAGTGAAGCAACATCGAAATTCAACCCTGAACGCAGCATGACATTTTTCATCATGCAATCATGAGAATCTTCGAAGAAACGACGTTTATTAACTGTTCTGTGAATTTTCACAGATACGACATACGGTATATTCAGTAAATACAAAATTACCAATCCATCGAGTACACATATCGCCGACCTCAGCAGAAGCCTAGTGATACCGTAGTATTTCTTTTTGAACTCGCGGTGATAATGTGTCACAAGTTGCCGGTACCGAGAAGCACGGACCTCTTCCGTAAGCTGGGTTCGAAAGTTGTCCTCGATACCGCTGAACGTCAGCCACACCATTTCTAGCGCCATTGCCTGTGAAACTACGAACTGGTCGGAATGTCTCAGGTACAGCAATGCGTTGCCATTCGGCAACGTCTTCAACTTCAAGAATGGGTGCCCATCCGGAACATTCACCACATGGGTACAATTCAGAAATTTTTTCAACGCCGATGAACAAGAAAATTTCGTTTCGTGTTCAGTAAGGTACCAGTAATATCGGTTGTCAGGAACCAGCAACATCG